ACAAGGATACAAGTACATCTTTCTAAGAGTAGAATATGAATGTCTTAACATAATAACAAAGAAAATGACATGAAGACTATGTTAACCAGTTTGATGAAAATATTTCAAATTGTATGTGAAATCAGCACACTGTACCCCAGAATTGCATTAATGTACATAGTTATCATTTAATAAAAAAATAATAATCTTTCATATTTAATATGGTATTGACTGAATTTTCAAAAATCCCCTCTATCAGATTGGGGTTCCATTCTATTCATAAGTTTTTAAGTGTTTTTATCATAAAATGATAATGATTTTTGTCAAATACTTTTTTTGCCTCAATTGAACTAATCATGTGAATTTTTCCCCTTCATTCTATTAATGTGATATATTATATTGATTGACTTTTATACATTGAATCATCCTTGCATTCCAGGAATAAATACACTTGGTCAGAAAAATATCCTATTTATAATATACCATTAAATTCAGTTTAGTATTTTTTTATTGATTTTTTCTATCAATATTCATAAAGAATATTGGTCCTTGTCTGTTTGTCTTAAGCATCTGTCAACAGAAAATAATTCAAAGAGGTTTATTCTAAGGTGAATATGTGTGACCATGGCTCAGGGAGCTATGCCCAAGCAGCCTTGAGCAAGTGGTCTGGCCACAGTTGGGTTACAGTTTGATTTTATACATTCCAGGGAGGTAGGAATCACTCATAAAGTTACAAATCAATACATGGAAGGCCTACATTAGTTTGGCCCCCAAAAGCAAGACTTCTGCAAAAGAAGCAGGGCATTACAGATTATAGGTGGATTTAAAGATCCTTTGATTTATAATTGGTTAAAGAAATGAAACTTTGTCTAAAGGCTTGAAATATTTTAAGATAAGGAAGTCTGTTAATCAGAGATAAGCATCCAGATATATAGTGGACATATACCCAGACTCAGATCTGTTAATTCATGACCTGTAGGTGAAGTTAGGCTCAATGATGAATTACAAAGGATGTCTCCAGGAAGGGTGGGAGTGTGACTAGCATGTCTGATCTCCCTTCTCACGCCCAACACCTCAGCTTTAGGGTCTGTGTAGAGCCCCTTTGGCCAAGAAGGGTCTTCTCAGTCAATGGGGATCAACTGGGGGTAAGATTGTATTTTAGTTTACATATCTTTTTCTGGCTTTGTTATTCAGGTAATTCTGGCCTCATAGAATGAGTCTGGAAGTTATCACTCTCTCTTTAATTTTTTGGAAGAGTTTGACAAGAATTGGTGTGGATTCTTTAAAAGTTTGGTACAATCCAATCAAGATGCTTGTTCCTAGATTTTTATTTTTGGGGACAATGTTTTGTTTTTAATTATAAAAAACATAAAATTGACTGTCTTTACCACTGTTAAGTATGCAGTTCAGTAGTGTTAACTATATTCACATTGTTGTAGAAATTTTTCATCTTGCAAAACTGAAAGTCGGTCCCCAGTGAACAAGTTCCCATTTCCTCCCCATCCCCTTACCAACCACAACTCCACATGCTATTTCTATGAGTTTGACTACTATAGATACCTCTTATAAATGGAAATACTTTTTTTGTGTGTGTCTGGCTTACTTCACTTATTATGTCTTAAAGTTTCATCCATGTTGAAACACATGACACAGGGTCTTCTATTTTAAGGGTGAATATTTCATTTCTGTATGTATGTATAGCATTTTGTTTATTCCCTCATCTGTCAGTGAGGATTTGGGTTGCTTCCACTTCCTGGTCATTTTGAATAATGCTGTGATAAACATGGGTGTGTGAATATTTCTTGGAAATACTGCTTTTGGTATTTTTAGATGTATACACAGAAGTGGGATCATATGGCAAATCTTTACATTTTTGCAGATGTCCAGACTGTTTTTCTTGGCACTTCACCATTTTTACATTCCCACCAACAGTGCTCAAGATTTCCAATTTCTCCACATCCTCTCCAACATATATTTTCTGCTTTTTCTTAGTAGTGTCTATCCTAATGGGTATTAATCGATCTCTTGATAGAGCTTCAATTTTCTTTTCTTGTATGTTTAGTGACCTTGAGTATATTTTCTTGTGCTTGGTTCTGGGTGTGTGTGTGTTTTCCTGATTCCTCTGTATGTATGGTAGCTTTTAAATAACTTAATTTTTCTAAAAGTTTCACTCCTACTTCTATGGGCCTTAGGTGTTCTTTGTATTTCTCAGTAATTTCTTGCCCTAGGCATATTCCTCTTATGTTTTCCAGGAACTCTATGGCAGACCAATCCTGTAGGCCAGTGGCTCTCAGACAAGTTAGGAGGTGGCTGTTTAGTCTGCTCTGTTCTCTCATGCATGTAGAGTGGAACCTCCCCTCCATGCATTGGGAAGGGGAAGGGCCAAGGGTGAATAAGAATACCACAAATACTCGTGCCATTTTGAACATGACTTTTTGCAGATTTGGCATTCATTTGATTGCTGTGGATCTATGACTGATTCCCAGAGCTTCTGTCAAGTTATTTTAGCCAGTCTCTAGTTGATTGTTTAGATTGTTTAAGGTTTCCAAGGGGGAATGAGAGCCTGGAGCTTCCTACTTCACCATCTTTCCTGATTTCATTCTCAATTTATTACCTTTCGTGTCCGTTTGAAATTTCTAAATCTTTGTTAATGCTTCTTTTGTTGGCTCAACAAAGAAACCATTAATTTAACCATTTGTATTTTCTCTCTTTTTATTTATTTATTTATGTATTTTCTCTCTTATGCCTATTTTAAAATTAGATTTTCTATGCTTTTCTCATTGATGTATATTTGTTATTTATATATCTGAAAAATATTCCTTTGTTATATAACTGTAATTTTTTCCAAATTTTATTCCTCAACTATTTTATAATTTTTTGATTAAGTTAATTTTAGCATTAAATGTATGAAATATGTCTGTTATGGTTGTTGCATTTCTCTTTTAAAGAAATGATTCCTGATCCAAAATTCATAAGACTTTATTCTGTACCTTCTTATCACTTCTTTATGTGTCCATACTGATGAGCCACCCGTCCTTCCTTTTCTCTTTATTTAAATAGTCTAATTTTGTACTTTAAATTTAAATGACATTTTAACATTTTTCCTCAGTTCCACTTAACAGAAAAAAATATTTTAGTATATATGCTAAGTTAGAGTGCTACAGATAAGGACTGATTGTCTTAAATGTTGAATTGTGAAAGTTCGTTAATTGTAAGAATAGTTATTAGAAGACCATAAGTATCAAAGCTTGGATTAGATGATTTTATGCCAGTATCAATTCTATTTGTGACAACCAATATAATGTGTACAGTTAGCACTCTGAATACCTTTGCTCATCATTTCTGTATTTGTGCTTCAAGAAATACTATATGAATGTATATTTTGACAGATAGTGAACCATGACCTTACTGAATTACATCATTGGAAATTTACTGTGTCCATTACTAGTTTAAATACTCTTATTAATACTGAAGCAAATAAATCTATTTAATATTTTTTCCATTTGAAACATTAGTTCCCAAATAAAACATCTATTAAAATCTAAGGGACTTTGTGGAGCACAGAATGGAAATTATTTACTCTGAATAGCAGTTAAAATAGTTCCCAATGTGGAAAAATACATTTTAAAAGCAAATGATACGAAATTAAATAATATAGTATGAAACCAATCTAAACATTAACATGTATTATTGCATCATGGTACTAGAAAAAGAATTTTCTTTTCTATGGCCTGTAATAACCATGCCCTAGATATGTTGTTAACATATGCTGGGATCCTTGGCTGACCACTTGCAGTAGGAAGAGGAGAAACAGGATATTCAGAGACTGTAGTCCAATTAGAAGGCACTACCTGACATTCATGCCTTTACCTGTGATGGAAGAAGGAGATAGAGGCAAGGGTCCCAGTGCATAGAGCTAAATGTTTATTAAATGCCTGTGATAAATTTAGTGCTTTCTAATGTAAATAATCTTATATTAATCCTCAAATTAATATTATAAATAGTTGATTATTATTGTACCTGTTTTATAAATGCATAAAGTAGAACTAGAAGAGTTGACTGCTTTACCTAGGATCCCAAAGCTAATCAATGACAGATAGTATTTGACCTTGTGTGGTAATATATTCATAAAATGTATTATCTTATATTAGAGATAATCAAAATGAATTAAGTTAGGCTAAGTGATTTCTTCCAAAAACACACATTTAGCAAGTAGCAGAAATAGGACTTGAAATCAGGAAATTACTAGAAACAAAATATTCTATACCATTGTAGGATGACTCGAGTTAACTATCATTTATTATTACTATATAGCGTCAGATAACTAGGAGAACATTCCCAACATGAAAAAAAAAAAGTTTGAGATTTTAGCTATGCTAATTACCCAGATCTGATCACTATGTATTATGTATTGAAACACCACTGTGTACCCCCCATGAATATGTATGTACAATTATTAATGTCAATTGAAAAATTAAAGGCAATAAGGTGCAGTCCTTTGGTAGAGTATGAGCTGTCTTTACACATCTGAGGCATAGTTGTTACTGGCCATCTGATAAGCACCTTTGGTTCCACCTGTAGTGTTGACCTCTGTGGCTTCTACTATATAACATAAAGGATGGTGTAATCTTCCTCTAGCCTCAGCATTGTGTGATCAGTACAATTAGTTTAGGTCATGGTCTTGTGGTATAGTCAAACTCACAGAAAGGGAAGCAGAACGATGTTTGTCAGCAGCTCAGGGGAGATGGAAGGAGAAGTTATCTAATGGGTATAGAGTTGTAGCTGTGCAAAATGGGAAAGTTTTGCACAGCTTGGAGATTGATTACACTACATTGTGAATATACTTGAAACTACTATACGGTACACTTAAAAGAGTTAGGATGGTAAATTTTGTGTATATTTTATGATAAATAACTTTTTTAATTTTAAAAGAATATTCTTTAAAAATTTATCCTCATGTAAAGTTAACTTATGTGGCTCTTTAGGAAAATGTGACTTAATAACTTATTCTTTTTTCACAGTGATCTGCAGCCCTGGATCGTATAACCCCCGTGATGGAATTCACTGCCTTCAGTGCAATAGCAGCATGATGTATGGAGCAAAAGCGTGCATATAGGCTAATATCTTAAGTTATTCAGTGGTTTATTAATCACAAAAGTCTATTTTTGAAATATTAGTATATAATAAATACCTATTATGCCAAAATTAAATATATCAGATTTTACAAAAGTGGTGTCATCATTTTAATCAAATAATGTATGTCCAAATGTTTTGTGAGGTTGAACACTCTGTAATCCTAGTTCATTAATGAGAGAGTTACACATGATTCCAAAATATCTCTTGTACTGCTGCATTTTACATAGTGTTTCAAATATATTATATTGGGTTAGCTCAGAAGATTTTTCAGGACTTTTCCAAAATATTCCATGTTACCTTTATAGTATGTTCAATAGATTCGGGCTACCATATTTTTCTGTAATAATTTAAATTTCAATTTGTTTCATTCCTGTGATATAATTTTACGAATTTTATTCATTCTAGTTTGACCTTTCACAATTCAAAATCACATTTAAAACCTGGGGTCTTTTTAACGTACGGCCTAGTTCCAGTCACACCATGAGTGTTTAATATGGTTCAATGTGGCTATCTTAAACTTTTTAGATTTAAGTCTCTTAAATTGTCTTTTGACATTTTAAAATGTAGTAATCATAGTATGTGCTAAATTAACATTTGAACATTTTCAATGTGTACAGAGAGCCTAAGCAATTTCTTTCCCTGACCACACCTCTGGGAAAAAGAATGAAACCATCATCACAACGTCTATTCCATTTCCTTCACTACTGAAATGTGTATTATGTGACAGATATTACAGCTACAACCACTGACACTTACCCTCTCGCACTGAGAAACTGTATTTGAATATCAAAAATTACCAAAAATTTAAAGAGTAAATAAAATACCAGGAAAATATAAGAGTAATTTCCAAAATGAGTAGTTTCTCAGTTTTTCTAATTATTGTTTTATTTATATTTGTGTCAACTTTAGTGTTGGACATGCCCTATTTTGCTTTTCATATTTCCTCTCTTAAGACATCAACATTTATAAATAGCAGACAACCTTTAAGTTGGATCTTAGCATAAATATGCAACACATTGACAGGAGAATAGTTTTCTCATACCTAGGATCTGTTAGACTTTTTTGAAATAGAGTAGTTAGGTAATTAGCCTTTCCTGTGGTCATCCTATGAACAAAGATAACTCCAGAATTCTCACACAAGTACAAAGGGAAGGGAAATGACATGTGGCTATGGCTGTATTGTGTCATTGTTAGCCCTGGTGGTGATTTCTTGAAAATCCCTTTGGGCTTTTATCAGTATGATGCAGTTATTTTTGTGCTTTAGAGGCTTCCTCAAGTGTCTTCCTTCTTCCAGCAACATATTGAACATTACTCTCGTGTGGCTGAGTCATTGTTCTTCCCTAAGTAACTGGCACATTGAAAGACCTTCTAAGTCTCCATCTGTAGAAGCAGGTCTACATCCTAGTTTTCAAATTTCTTAATTGCATAGTGTAATGAATTATATGAAAATGAAAGTAGGATATGTAAGTACATATTCTTTCCTTTTTACTCCTACATTTGGCTTTTTCCATGTTTTTAAAAATTTTAGTAATTTTTAAGTAGATTTATCTGAGGCATCAACAACATCACATCCATAGTGAAGCAGCTTAGGCAAGTGGAGGAGGAGTGTAGGGGCAGCACCAGGCGCAGTGAATCATGATCCACCCCAGCCCGGTGATCTGAGAGGAGAGGAGAGGAGAGGGACAGCAGGGTGATGAGAGCAAGTCAAGAGGTTTTAGCTTATAAGAGCAGACAGAAATGATACCATACAGATACCTGAGGCCAGAAGGATTTTAAAAGTCCAGGCAAAGAAAACACACTGTAGAAACTGAAGTGGAGGACAAAATAGGAGAAGAAAAGGAAGCATTAATTATACTTTTCCTTGGTTCCCACAGGGAAATGTGTTTGCTCTATTACATCACTTACCACATTTATTTTAGTTAATTACATATTCGTCTTCTACATTCAATTATACTAGGGTAGTCCCAGTTCCACAGTTTTATTCATAACACAGTTATGTGCTTCATAATTTTTTAGTTAATTGATAGATCATTAAAGTCCTGTGAGTATTAAAGACTTATTAAGTATGTTTGTTTGGCAATAAATAAAAGCACCTTTCCAAGTTCCGTCCAGTAATCTCAAAGGAAACTATGCTCAGGTGAAATATTATATCCAGTGGTGTTAATTGCACATCATATAGAATAATGAAAAGGGAATTAACATAAATGACCTACAAGACAGAATTGGTTGAATAAATTATTCTATTTCCATATGATAGAAAGTTATTGAGCAATTAAAATCCCATTTACAGATGAAATGAATTAAGATTCTATATATATCTATATATTCTAATGTGAGTTTATCTGTATTGTTATCAGTATTGTTTAGATTTTTAAAACCAATGCGCCAAAATGTTAACAATGGTTGTTTCATGTAATGGGATCATGTATGATTTTTTTCCAATGCCCACTGTTTTCAATTTTTTAATGACAAAAATATTGGAAGCAATAAATGTACTTTGAAAAATTAAAATAGTAGCAAAGTAGAGAAGACATTATTGCTTATCTCTTCAATATCGATTCACTTCTCCCCTTCTTCCTAACAGAGCACAGTTTGTTTACTACAGAGACTGATCCTTTTTAGCCAGTCAGCACATGGCTTTCTCTGGCCACTGCTTTGGTGCAACCATGAAATGAAGCAGCTTGTGGATGAAGCCCACCCTGGGGACACGGTGGAGATATCCAAAGAACCGGGCATTTATGATGTTGAATAATTCTCTTACTGTACCCAAAACCTGCCGGCCCTGGATTTCCCAGTTCTGTCAGAAAGGAAAGTTGCCTTGTTTACACAAGTTAGGCTTTCTGTTACTTGCAACTAAAAGCATACTAGTTGATATAGTATAAAATATGGGAAAATTGTGAAATGGAGGATTAGAATTGAGGGGGAAATCACTTAGCATTTTATAATCCAGAGATCAGCAATATTAACATTTGAGTAAATTTTCTACTTTTGTGTAGAGTTTTTATTCATGTCATATGTTATGTGTAGCTAATATTTCCCTTAATGTTATGATGTATTTATTTCCATACTATTTTACTCCATTCACATATTTTAATGACTATAATATTTCATACATTACAACAAAAATGCCGTAATTATGGTTATTTGTAATTGTTGAACATTTCTTTTGCTTCCAAAATTTCCCTGTTACAGACAGTATTACACTTCACCTCTTCTCCCCTAAATTTCTATAGTATGTTTAAGTCACCTTCATGCTAAATACCCAGGAGTAGAATTACAAGTTTGGGTATTTCTAATGCTCTGGACCACTGCCAAACTTATTTACTAAGGAATTATACCAATTTATAGTACCACCAATGATCTATCAGTATCCCTACTTCACTGAACCCTCTCCAATATCATTTTTTAATTATTTAATTTGATAGGTAGGAATAGTTTCCCTATTATATGTATTTTCATCTTTTTCAGTGTTAGGTTGAGCTTTCCTCTTATTATAATGCTGCTCTTCTTACTGATGATGTTATTTAGTGTTTAGTATATGTTTTCTTTGAAACCCTTCACATAGACTTTCAGGTTTAATTTGCCAAACTCTGATTTATGGTTGTTATTTTCATTGTATGAGAGGAAAATGAGTCATGATAAGTAAGTAGCTCCGCAGGTCTATGCGCCTGATAAGTGCATTACAGTTTGGTTCTGCTGTAAGTTCCTCGGGGATCTGATCCTGGGGTTTCTTTGGCAGGTCCTGTGGCTTCACAGTGTCATCCTGACCTCAGGCCACTTGTACTCTGCTCCCCCCTCAGTGCAGTTTTCATAGTTGCAGGTGCTGTGATACCTATAGGCACTGAATGTGCCTTCCATACAGAGTAAAAGGTGAGAATGAAAAACCCTTTACAGACTTTTATAGTGAACTGAGCAGTGTGATGAGGTCACCTGATACTATAAGGGAGGCTGGGCATTTATTCTCATTAATAGAGAGAATAGGGGCATGGGATTCAATGGGTATTGAGTAGGTCAGGGTCTTTCTTGCTTACACACATTACCCATTTAGCTAGTTGGTGTCAGGGCACCCTTCCCACTGACAGGCTCCACAGGTGATGTGCTCATTCTCTCCCTCAGGTCATTTAAACTCTCATCCAGTTACCACGTCAAGGTTGAATTTCAGAATCAAGGATGGTATGTACAGGGTTAGACCAGGCATGGGGTTCATAGGGTCTAGACCAGGCATCCCCAACCTTTCTGTCACTAAGCACTGGTTTTATGAAAGACAATTTTTCTTCATCAGGATTACTCAAACACATTACATTTATCGTGCACTTTATTTCTATTAGTATTACATTGTAATACACTGTTATTACATTGTAATATAAAATAGTTGTCCATTTTAAGTTGCACATAAACTATATGCCCAATAGTGAAATAATCATACAACTTACCATAATGCAGAATCAATAGGAGCCCTGAACTTGTTTTCCTACAACTGGGGATGATGAGAGACAGTGACACCCCAAATATGTTGCATATGTCCAGTCTACTCCATAGTCTTGTTTTGGTTGCTGTCACTCTGGAAAGCCCAGCTTCACAAATACAGAATGTTGGAAATAGAAGCAGCCTTCTCAGCGCTTGTGTGGCAATCTTAGGATCTTCCCCCTTGACTTTAATCCAGAATATCTGAAGATTGGAAGTTGTCTCAAAGATAATTTTTAAGGCCACCATCATCTGTGATGTCAAGCAGCTGATCCTCTTCTACCAAGGATAAAATCAATTCACCTGGCTTAGTCACAAATGGGCCATGGATCCAGTCCTTCCCAGTTTGGGAGTCTTTTGTGGCTGGGAAGTAATTCTCTTAACTGTTTTGGAAGCTGGGATAGGTGACCAGGCACCAGCTGGGAGAAAGAAAGCCCCAGCTCAGTGTCTTTCAAAATCTCTGCTCATGTTAGTACATGTCAAATATCCCAGTGTTCTCTCGTCACCCCCATAACTGCAGTTTGGCTTTGAATGTGGCCACTTTATCTGCCATTTGAACACAGTTGTCATTCTACCCTGAAGTGACAGATTGAGTTCGTTGAGCAGGTTGAATATGTCTCACAAGTAACCAAGAGTTGAGACCCATGCTGTGTCACTGAAATGTGCTGCCAGTGATGACTGTTTTCCTAAAAGAAATCTCTAGAACAGCTCTCCTAACTCAGAACCTCTGGCCAGTGATGCAGCTTCAGAAAGCCGTCTCCCTTCTGTGTGTAAGAGAAGACGCGTGTGCTCTGCACCCATCTCCTCACAGAGCTGCCTCAACAGACATGAGTTAAGGGCATGTACTTTTCAGTGGTTGAAAATCTAATCACACCCTACAAACCATTTAGTTCAGGTGGCATAT